GTCCATCCTCTGGTTCGGATAGTTTTGAGACCCCTTCCGAAACAGCATTAACGAAATTTACCGTCGGTTCTTGTCCAGGTTCCGCAGGCTTGATATTCCCTTCAGGGTCAAAACTGGCCTGCGTTATATCTCCCCGATCTTGCCGTCCATAGTTTGAGCATTAGCAGATCCGACTCTATCAAATGTCGCGGCATCACTCTAACTCATTACCTCTCTGGGCCCACACACCTGGGAAATGTGGCCACAAAAGTTAGCGGAAAGCCTTATGCAAACAGACTCAAGAAACTAGCTGTTTTTCAAAACATTATTTGAGTGATTGCACTTTTGCACACTGGTCATACCAATCTCGCCTATTTCCCCCTGATTAAAAATGAGAGTTTACGGTGAATTTTATCCCGTGCAGAGTAAAGGATACCTAATCGGAAAAGCTGTATAACTGTTTCGATCTTGGTGGGTTTCGTGAGCAGTGTGTACTTATCGACGGAACTAGAATGGAAGACGAGACTGAGCGAGTTGTAACCCTGGAGAAGGATAGTGCCAACATGACTTACGTTTTACTCTTGTAAGACTATCTCCTGCAAGAGGATGAATCGACTTCATGAATGTCCCTGATTACAGCCACTCACGCGCTGTTGTCCGAACAGATTGATATACATCTTTTGTTCCAAGCTCGGGAAACGTAGACAGTTCCGAAGCTCAAGTATTCCATATCGGATTTCACAGCGCTGCTCCAGGTCTTCAGCTGTCCACCACGGCGGCAGCGTCATGCGGGTCATGCCGCCAGGGAGAGAGTTTCTCTTTCCAGATCCGAGGCAAGTCTGTGCATTACTTGGTCGAACCAATGCATGCATCACCGCCCCGGGGGAATGCAGTTTCTTTGTGTTCCATCCGCGCCGCCGGGCCTCGTCGTTGGAGATTCGGTCCCACCATTTCACTCTTGCCATACTTCAGAGGTACCAATAGTCAAACATCTCCAGCTATCTTACATCTTGGACTCTAATTGGTCAGGTCTCGCAGCCGTATGTTCCGAGGGATCGAATGAAAACCTGATATACATTCAATTTGGTCAGGAGACTGATCTCGCTGCCGTTCCATAAGGATCTGCGAAGCTGCAGAATGGTTTTCCTT